GATATAAGAATGATGTTCTGTGGTCCTTGGAGCAAAGACCATTCGGGTAAAAGGCCCAGTATGCAGATGTGGGGTCAAAACGTGCTGCTCAGTGGCTTTGATTCCCACTGTCCTTTGCCCACCATCTGAGGCATGAGTAAAAAAGGCTCACATCATGATCCTGGCCTCAGGCAGGATGCAGTCTACTCAGGAAGCCACGTTGTGGGCTGCAAAATGGACATCCACAACGAAGCAGCAACTGGCGAGTGCTCACCAGGCTGTGCGGCTTCTCAGAGGAGAGGGACGTCAGGGTGGGTGGCCAGGAAAAGGCAGAATGGGAATGGGCTCAGAGAAGCCAGAGTTGGCTATGCTGCAAGGAGACAGCCAGTGAAAAGGTGTCCACATAGGGGAGCTCGGGCCTGGCACAGACACAGGCTCAGTACTGGTAACAGTAAAAGCCACAGAATGCGATTACAGGGTCTCCATTAAGCGCTGGGCAACATGCCAAACTCCTAGCACGGATTGTTTTCTTTAATCATCCCTAGAATGTGCCTTTGTATTTTACAGAAGAGGATGCTCAGGTTCAGAGAGCTAACTTCTTGAATCCCACACAGGTATATTGAGAAAGAGCACCTAGAGTCATACCAAGGGCTGGGCTAAACAGCGTAAGCATTACCCTAGAATACCCGGGGTTGCACATTGCATTTGGCTAGAACAGAGCACTAACTTGGTCAAGGAGAGAGCAAGGCTGGGAATGGAGGTGAGATATGTGAGCCCTTACGTTTTTTGAGCAAGAGGTATCCTTGAACATTTTTGAGCAAAGGAGTGAGGGCCCTCCAATAGGAGTCCGTAGGGCTAGCAGGTAGAGGGGTCCCAGGTAGGAGGAGAGAACAGAACGGGGAAGAGGGCCTGGTTCCATCATAAGGGCTGAGAAAATGGACCTCACACCGACCTGGCACGGAACCCCGAGTCAGGCTACCTACCCCTAATGCAGCTTCACAGTTGCAGGTGGAACAAAGATCTGCCAGTGGGGCGTATTCACTCTCTCTCTCTCTCTCTCTCTCTCTCTCACACACACAAACACACACACACACACGTTACATCTGGGGCTTTTTAAAGAGAGCACAGAGATTTTCCATAGGACTCTAAGATAGAAGATATGATGGCTTAATTTCCGTTTGTGCGTTCCTGGTTTTTAAAACACCGTGCTGCTGAGTCACGTTTCGTTCTTCCTTCCCAGCCAGGTTAGGTTACTTAGGCACAACACGGGCAGAATGACGTCACATGCCTTCTTCAGAGGCACAAGAGAGGGGAAGAGGAAGATTCTAATGGAATGTTGTTGCATAAGACTGAACAGATTGATCAAAAGAACAGAACTCCAAGCCAATGGACGCCAGTGGCACTGATGGAATCGTCCACACTTGCTGTCTATCCAAGGAGGCACAGCCAAAGGAGTTTACAATCTGCGGAGATCTGTGGAGCCACCTTTCCAAGCATGGTTCACAGAACATCAGTTCCATGTCCCATGTTTTGCAACAAACACTAGGTTAAACGAGTAAGTTTTTTTTTTGTTGTTGTTTTGTTTTGTTTTAACTGCAGGCCTTTTCAGAGTTCTAAAATTTTACAGTGGCTTTGTGAACTACCAAGAGGGAATCCCAAATCCTCCCACCACAGCCCTATCTTGTTTTCTTGGAAATTTCTTGCAACCCTCTAGGATAGGAAAAGACCAGAACAGGACACAGAACTGCCTCCCAGACGGCAGATTCTTCTCTGTGTCTACCGTGTGCTTCCAAGAGCGCTGGAGAGCTCAGTGAAGATTTTCTATGCAAATTCAAATTTGCAAAGCCAACTACTTTTCTTAAAAACGCGCCGATTTCGCTCCCCAACCCGCTACACTATCTAAGTGAATCAATAAACTAGCTCATGAGAGGAAATTGCAGCTATTTTATGTACTTTTAAAAAAATCAATGCTCAGTTATAATCAGATTATAAAATGAGCCGCATGGTCACGTGTCTTTCTGGCTGCTGGGGCTGCAAGCGGATGGTCCTCGGATTGTGCTCAGTAGCGCCCCCTCTGCGACCCGACGCGCAGCTGCGCCTCTGGTGCCAACCGATCGAAGCGGCTGTCCTGGAGCTCTCTCGAGTCGCTCCCCCTGGGGGCCCCAGAGCCCTTCGGGAAGTCCTGGGAGGCGAGCTGTTTCCCTCGGGATATCTGCTCCATCCGCTGCTCCTTCTTCTTAATGGCCTCCTTGATGCCCTCGACGTGGGACTTCTCCTCCTTCTCGGCTCTCAGCTTCAGGACCAGGTGGTTCTTCTCCCGCAGGGCGTTGAGCTCGCGGAGGTGCTGCGCCTTGTCCCTGGCGGTCCTGTGCGCGTGGCTCCTGGCCTGCCGGATCTTCTGGTCGGCCAGCTCCACCAGCACCCTCTTGCGCGCCTTCGTCTGCTCCTCGGCCTCTCCCGCGCGCCACCTGACCTGCTGCAACTGCTCTGCCTCCTTCCGGGCCTTCTCCCTCAGCTCCCGGTACCGCTCCTTAATCAGACACTGCTGGACCTCTTGAGACCGCTGGCAGCTCTGCTCCAGCGACAGCTTCCGGAGGAGCTCCTCGGCCTTGACCTGGCAGTCCAGGAGCACTTTGCGAGCCTGGTAATTGACGAGGGAGCTCAAGTTGGTCTGCTGGACCTTCTTCTGGCCCTCGGCGGCGTGCAGGTGCCTCTTGTGGGAGGCCTCCTCCAGCCTCCGCTGCAGCTGCAGGCCGCTCTGCTCCCGCAGCCGCTGCGCCTGCCTCTCCTGCTCCCGCAGGCGCTGCACCTGGCTCTGCTTGCGCTGCTCGGCCAGGGCGCGCGCGCCGTCCGGTTTCTCCTGGCGCTGGTTCTCCTGGTCCTCGGGCGGCGCCCTCCAGCGGCTCTCCGCCGGGGGCGCGTTCTTCCCGGGGCTGCTGCGCCGCCGGCCGTGGGGCTCGCGGCCCGGGCGAGTCTTGCGCGGCTCCTTCTCCTGCCACTGCTCCTGGCTCCGCTGCAGCAGCAGCTGGCGCTCCCGCTCCAGGGTCACCTGGACCTTCTGGTCCGAGAGCTTCAGCTCCTCCCACGCGACTGCCGCCTGCTGTTGCAGCTCCCGCATCCTCTGCGCCTTCTTGAGTCGGGTCAGCACCAGGGCCACGATCTTCTGGTCCCGCGAGGACATCACCGCCTCCTGCAGGGTGCTGGTGAGCGCCTGGCTGTGCTGGTTCTGCGTGTCTCTGCTGGACGCCGAGGGCTGCGAGCCCGGACTACCCGCCGATTCCACCCGCTCGCTACTGTCCCTCTTTTGAGGGCGCACACAGGCCGAGTGCGTCCCGAACTCCTGGGAGGGCGCAAAAGACTTCTCCGTGGGAACTGGGGAAGAGGACCAGAGACCCTCGTGGCCGCAGACCCCTGCTGCCCACTGGTCTCCACTCGGTGCCACGCTCGCGAGAGTGTAAGCGCCCTCGGGGTACGGCGGTGGCGAGTCCCCCTGGGCCGGGGTGTAGCGCGGGAAGGGCTGCGACTGTTGGGGCTGCAGGGGGGATGGCTGTGGCCAGGCCGCGCTGGACTTGCTCCGGGTCTCGCTCCAGGCCTCTTCTAGGCGCCGGCTGCGGGGCGGGTGCATCCTGGCGCGGTCGAGCGGCCTCGGCGCCACGTCGGTGAGGCTGCGGCTTTCCCTTGGTGAGGCACAGTACGCGCGCCCGCGAGTCCGCGCTGATGGTGAGGAGCTCCGGTGCAGCCAGGGGGCCGCCGCCTCCCTCTCGGCGCCCGCAGTCTTGGCCCAGGAGTCCAGGGCCGGCTCGGCCCCGGGTCCCGGCCCGCCCAACCTCGCCGGGGACGCGCGTCCTCCGCGGGGTGGCCGCGGCTCCCAGAGGTCGCGATAGGGCGGCGAGGTGAAGTTGCTGAAGCCCGCCATGCTCCCTCCGGGCGCGCCGTGCGTCTGTGCCAGGGTCCCGGGGCTCCCAGGGTCGCTGCGGCACCGGCCCCGCCCTCCGCTCCCGGGGACCAGGTCGCCTGTGACGCTCCCGCCACTTCACAATGCGCCTGGCACCACCAGGTCCCCGCAGCCCTCGGCTCAGGCAGCGCGCCACCCGCCCTGGACCTGGCCAGCGCCGCGCAGAATTCAAGGGGCAGAGGAATTTGTAGAAAACCAAGGGTGGCATTTGTAGGAAACCAGAGGGTGCACAATGGCACCACCACTACCACGGAGCTTCAGGCGGGAAGCTGCATGCGCGTTTGCACGCTCTAAAGTAGTCGTTAAGAGAGCCTGGGTGAAAGGGCCACCCTCAGAGGAGAGCGCGGTGGGGGCGGGGGAGGTCAAAGGGCCGGGGTAGGGGGTGGGAGTGGAGGCCTCCCCTGAGTCGCTGTCCCTTCCTCGCGCAGAGCTACAAGGCACTCGGATGAAGCCGCCGAGAAATCACGTTAATTAATACACGCACCACCGTTTTAAGTCAGGCGCCAGCGCAAACTACGCTTCAGTGTTGACTTTCTTAAACATGAGAGCAGGAAAAAGGCGAATTTTCCCCCTTGTATAGCGATGACTGCTTTTGTACAAATATAAACGCCGTGTGCTCATTCTGAAGTAGCCTCAGTGAGCACCGATGCGGTAACCAGGGTGAGTTGGAAGCCCCCATGTCCTCCTACTTGTCAATCAAACCACCTCCTGTCCCAGGATCTAATGGACGGGACCGGGACCGGCATGAAGATATGGAGATTAAGCTCCACGTGGGGTGTGTGAAGGTCCCATAGCGTTCCCAGATGGCTTCTCACCTGCAGAGGCCCCCTTCCTACCTCACAAAAGAGGCCACCTGGGGGGGAGCCCCCCCAGCTAGAGGTGCTGCACAGGTGTCCTCTCTTCCCACGGTCCTCCAGCCCACTGCCCACTCGCGCTGGGAGTTTCTCTGTGGGGCAGCCCATGCTCACACCTGTGTGTTCACTTTCTCACCTTCTGAGTGAATCTGTCACCCTGCATACCTTCTATGTGTGTGCACATAGAATGCTTGTCTGTGTGAGACACTCACCCACATCCAGCGCCACGAGGAAATCACATTCATTTCTCAGGCTTTTTCTCAGACTCTTTTTTCCTTTCCATGGCACCCAGGGTTCGCTGGAAGAGCGCTGGACTCGGTGAAGCACAGGTGTTTGAACCTCCTCTGCTACCTGTGTGATGTGGGGTAAGTAGCTTCCTGACCCTCCAGTTTTGGAAGGGTAGAGTGGGAGGGTTGGGTGGCTCTCCAAGGCTGCTGAGGGCTGATGGAGCCGTCCAGTTAGGCTTAGATTCAAAGTCTGAAGACTTAACTATATGGATTTCCACAAATTTCTATAGACTCTAAGCTTAAGAAAAGACAAATAGAATTAACATAATCCTAAAAAAAATAACTTGAGGTTAACGATGGCGTGCTAAAGAGGGGCGACTGGCAGGCTCTGTCGTGTCCACACTGGATCCTGGCTAAGTCACTTTCCTTCTCTGTGGCTTCTATGTTCTGAATGGTGATGCCTACTCCCCTCCACGCTTCATGTGTTGAAGACTGATCACTGACATCAAGCTGTTAAGAGGTGGGGCCCTGGGACAGCGGATGGCACAGTGGTCAAAACCCTGCTTGGGACGCTGGAATCCCATATCAGAGTGCCTGGGCTCAAGTCCCAGCTCTGCCTCTGATCCAGCTGTCTGCTCACGCTCACCCTGGAAGGTAGAAACCTGGGTCCCTGCCACCTGTGTGGGAGATCTGGTTTGTGGTCTGGGCTCCTGGCTTTGGCCTGGCCCATCCTTGGCTGTTGTGGGCATTTAGGGGATGAATCAATAGGTGGAAGATCTCTATTTGTCTCTGCCTCCCTTTCAAATAAATAAAAAAGTTTGTAAAATACTCATCCATGGGATTAATGCCCTTTTTAAAGGGACCCTGGAGAGCACCCTCATTCCTTTTGCCATGCTATGACAGTGAGAAATTTGCTGTGTGTGTGCCAGCAAGGGGGCTCTGATGGACACCACACCTGCCGTGCCTGGGCCCTGACCTTCCCAGCCTGCTTTCTCATGCTTGTTTATACATCGCCCAGTTGTGGCATTTTGTTACAGCAGCTCCGAGTGAACTAAGATGGGAATGAAGAAAGCTCTGGACAGCATTCTTCCAGCATGACTGCTCCTTAGAGAAGGAATCAGTATTTACTGATCACTCACATCTCTGACAGCAGTGCCGGGCTAGGCAGGGCCAGTAGGACCAATAACACTTTCCCTAGGACCATTCTGTGATGCGGCCATACTAACTGACGTCACTAAACATCCCTGGGTCAATTTTTGGGCTTCTGACTCTGGATTCCCTTCCCTTTCCATATCATGGCGCCTCTTGGGAAATGCACTTTGGATTGAGATAGGCTTTTAAGAAAATTACGATCAGCTGTTTGTCAGTGGGTCACCATCACCATGTCCTTGAAGCCACCTGGTAGCTGGCAGCCTTAGCTACAGTGACTGGGCCATCCCAAGGGGCCGCTCTGCCAGGATGGGGTCTCTACAGCACCCATTGGCACATCTCTAGCTGAGAATAAGAAGCTGCTTCTGCTCTTGATTTCTGGTATTACCACTTATATCCTTTTGGAGTTATTTTAATGATTACAGTTCTTAATAGGAAGTTAATATTTTTAAGACAATAACCCAAACTTTCAATGGGATCATGGAATTTTTTCAAGTTAGGAAAGGTCTGGGCATGCATTGTGTTGTGTTGATAGGTGAGCATCTTATTGCTGTATTAGAGCTTTATAAAATATTTTGTGCAGACAAGTGTGGCCCTGGCCAGTTCTCAGGCCACTTCCTGTCATGGAGAAGCAGTGTCGGTGAGCGAGCTTACCACCTTGAGAGCCAGCAGACCTGCCCCCAGCCAGCTCAGCTACCCTCTGAGTCCCCTTCGGCAGCCTGTCCAGTTTTTGTTTCTTCATCGTTGTGGGAGGTGATCTCCTACAGCCCCAGAGGTAGCAAAAGAAAAGGTACAATCTGGTAAATTCTCCAGTATTTTTTCTGTAAAACAAAAAAATGAGCTCACGTATGAAAACTGCTTACAGCAGTGCCTGGCATGTGGTGGCTGTGTTATAAACACCTGCCCCTAGAACCATCATTATGCCAGCAGCACTGAACCATGGCCACGTAGAGCTGAACTTAAAGATTTAGTCTGGGGCACGGCCAGAAGTGGAATCCAAAGGCTCAGACTCCCAGTTCAGGGCTTATTGGTGTCATACTACCTCCAGGGGTTCTCAGAATCCACTGTAGAATTGTGTCACTCACCTACCTCGATTGCGATGGAATAAAGGACACAGCCCTAATGTCACAATGCACAAAGCATCTGGGCTAGGATTAGAAAGACAACACTGCTAGGACAAACAGATCCAGACGACAGATGCAGCAGGTGGCTGAACAGTCACCTTACAGAGTTCCCAAGGGAAGAGAGGGGTTTATTCTTTTATTTAAATATTTGTTGATTTATTTGGGCCGGTGTTGTGGTGTAGCAGATAAGGCTGCCTCCTGAGATGCTATTGTCCCCTATGGGCACTGGTTCATATCCTGCTTGCTCCACTTCCAATCCAGGTTCCTGCTAATGGCCTTGGAAAAGCAGAGGAAGATGGCCAAAATGCTTGGGCCCCTGCACCCACATGGGAGACCTGGATGAAGCCCCTGACTCCTGGCCTTAGCCTGGCCATTGTGGCCTAATGGGGAGTAAACTAGCAGATAGGTATGTGTGTGTGTTTCTCCCTCTCTGTCTTAAATGATTATTTATTTATTTGAAAGTCAGAATGACAGATAGAGGAAGAGATCATCCATCTGGACTGGTCCAAGAGCCCGGAACTCCATCTGGGTCTCCCAAGGACTTGGGCTATCTTCTGCTGCTTTCCCAGGCACATTGGTAGGATTCTGGATCAGAAATGGAGTGGTCTGGACTTGAACTGACCCTTTGTTCTATCTGTGTTGCCCATAAGGAAAAGCTTTGTAAAGGTTGACATTGGAGCTAAACCTGGAAGGTCAAAATTAAGATTTCACCAAATGGGGGTGAGCACTAACACACACCTGGCTGAGGAGGCTATGTGGGCTGCAGTGTGGAGCTTCAGACGCCTGGCACGTTGCACTCCTATGTGGTTTGTGCAGTGGGGGTATGGGGAGTACGCGCAGTAGAGTGCCAAGTGATGAGGCCAGACAGGTGTCCTGGGTGCAGATCCTATAGGGCCTTGAATGCCAAGCCGAGGAACATGGGCTTCCTCCTACAGGCAGCTGAGTTCCAGCTGTGTCCAGAAGAGCTCCAGGATCCCTTGGGGCTGCTTTGCCCCCCCCCCCCCCCCCGCAAGAGGGAGTGGCCTCTGTCCCTGCTTTATCACGAGCAGTTTAGCTTTGATCTGTTCTGTATCCTGGGACTCCTAATAATAGCTCATTGAAAAAATTCATTTTCTTCTGCTTCTGAGAAAGGTTTGACATCTGTTGTGCAGCTAAACACAGGGAGTCGATGAAAGCCTTGAAACTAGCAGTGTGACCTGTTGGGGTCTGTATTTTGAATACTCACCCTGACAACAATGAGCAGGTGAGCTAGGGGCCTGGCTCAGTAATCCAGTGTGTGGGCAAACCAGAGCAAAGGGCAAGGGGGACTGGAAGGGGTCAGAGGGACAGTTCAGAGGTCCAGGGACCACGGCCCAGAGAAAGGATTCTGAGTGCCTGGGCAGATGGTGAGTGGCAGTGGCAAAAATCTCGAGTGCCCGTAACCTTGGGAACAGTGATCTTGGACATCAGGTAAAGAAAGTCTGGGACAAGCCAATGAAACGTGGAGGAGAAACTTTCTCTTCGAGGGGACTCGTGCGGAGGCGCTGGGGCTCAGAGCAGGACAGTGCCGAGCTGAGCAAATCCTGCTCCTCTACATCTTCAGGTTAAGACCCCCTCCCCCGGAGGATCACCAGCTTGGAAGCCGCATCAGCTCTTCCGAGGGCCAGATGAAAGAGATGTTTTGCAAATGCTAAGCTGCCAGGCCTTCGCTCGATACCAAGAACAATCATTTTTATTCGGCAGGAAAGTCCTCAGTGTGTTACACTGGATGCCTCAGAATGTGGACTCTCTGCCAGATGAAGACCTGAGCCTCTTCTCTTAGTGTGTCGGAGACTTGGAAAACATTGCAGAAATGTCCAGTTAATCTCCTGGAGAGAAATGTGCTCTGTGCCCTTCCTCAGAAGGGGCTGTTTGCCATCGTCGTGACTTTAAACTTCATCTTCCAGTGTAGCTCCTCATTCTCGGATGGGGCAAAGGGGCGAACACAGCAAGAGGGACCTTGTCGTGCACGGAAACACACAGGCATATGATAACGTAATTTATTTATGAAATATTATCACAAATAGATTGTAATGTTAAATATAGTAAAAGGGATACCTAGTGAAAACTTGAAGAAATAGTACTTTTTTTTAAAAAGACTTATTTATTTATTTGAGAGGCAGAGTTACAGACAGAGGGAGAGACAGAGAACGAGAGGTCTTTGATCCATTGGTTCACTCCCCAGATGGCTGCAACGGCCAGAGCTGAGCCAATCCAAAGCTGGGAGCCAGGAGCTTCTTCCTGGTCTCTCATGTGGGTGCAGGGCCCAAGCACTTGGGCCATCCTCCATTGCTTCCTCCCAGGCCATAAGCAGAGAGCTGGATCAGAAGAGGGACAGCCAGGTCACAGGTACACGCATGGGATGCTGGCACCACAGGTGGAGGCTTAGCCTACTACGCCACAGCGCTGGCCCTGAAATAGTTGCACTTAACAAATACAATTTGGGGTCACTTCTTCTTCCTTAACATAATAGAGACATCACACAGAATACTTTTTATTTTTTAATTTTAAAATATGCTTTGTTGAAACTTTTGAAAAAATGTGTGAGTCATTTAAAGTGCTTTGTGTTTTTTCTGTTTTGCTAAAATTGAACCTGGAGTTTTGAACATCAAAGGAAATTTGTTGTTCAGAAAGATTCCGGTGAGGGGAAATAGGGCTACAATAGAAGTCTGGTGATGGATGGTTTGCAGTGAGTGCTGACTGCGCATATATTGTAATATGTTGTGCATCATGAATCTTTGCTGATGTTATCAGCAGGGTAGGGCACCCTCAGCCTACTACCCCTGCAGACTGTACCCACCAGGCTTATGCCAGGGAAGGATTTCTGAGGGCAGCTCACAATGCTCTTTGCACTCAGTGTGCCCACCAGCGCAGCCCCAGGCAACCATGAGTGACTCTGTGCTCCTAGCAAGCACCCCTGTCTACAGGAACCTTACGAGGCACCGTTGTCCACCTGTCTGTGACTGTGTATGGCCACCTTTGGGGACAGTCACTGACTGAACTCATCTCTGCACGAACGGGGCTCCTTCTTCAAGTCTTGGCTCTTGGGGAGCCTTCCCTGATCCCCCTGACCCAGTGAAATCCCCTGCTCCACGCTCTCATAGCCCCTCTCCTTGGGAGGGTATATTTCATTGCAGACCTACATTTGGGGATTCTGTGGAAATTTGATTAATGAGGTCCTCCTACAGTAGGTTCTAGAAGAGGATGGGCCCTGCCTACTTTGGTCACTACTACTCACAGTGCCTGCCACATTGTAGGCCTTTGGTAATGTTTGTGGAATTAATGGAAAAAAATGGTTGCACTAAAAATTCCTGGTGTCTCCCACCACTAAGCCCTCAGTGATGGACACCAGTGCTTCTGTTTGTGTACAGGAACTACTACTGGATTCCCAGTCTTTCCTACCCAACTCAAGTGCCCCCAGCCATACCTTTGCGCATTCATTTTTTTTATTATTTTATTTATTTGAAAGGTAGAGTGACAGAGAGGGACATACAGAGAGAGAAAGATCTTCTATCTACTGGTTCACTCTCCAGATGACTGCAACAGCCAGGGTTGAGTCAGGCTGCAGCCAGGAGCGTCTGGGTCTCCCACATGAGTGGCAGGGGTCCAAGCACTTGGGCCGTCTTTTGCTGTTTTCCCAGGTGCATTAGCAGGGAGCTGGACCAGAAGCAGAGCATCTGGGACTCCAGCTGGTGCTCCAACATGGGATGCTGGCATCACAAGCAGTGGCCTGACACTGCACCACCACTGGGGCCTGTTCATTCTTTATCCTTGTTCTCTGCCCTTACAGAGTAGACAAGGCTAAGGTCATCAAAGTGAACATTATCAACTTTGCCTTCCCCTGGGCCTTCACTCGTTTTGTTTTTCCTGTCTGATACACAGGAGAAGTTGTCCCCGCCCCTTGCCAAAGCCAGACAAGGCCCCTTTCTCTGATTCTGTCCTGCTACCCTCCCCCGGCCATTCTCCATCCTGCATCTTCTCTTGCTTCCTCTTCCTCCCTCCCAGGAGCTCCTTCCTCTCCCCTTGTGACCATGCTCAGGTGACTTCAACACTCCGTGCCCTTTGCAGTTTATGTCTAACTTTACTTGATTTTGATTAACATAGGCACACCTGGCCAGAGGCTTCAGTACTGGCCAGCAGAGCTCTAACGTGAGCTCTGAGCTCACATTACTTAGGATAGAATAAATTATGGTCTCACCAACTCCTAACCATAAGACCTTAGGCAAAGCATTTAAGTTCTTTAAGTGCTGAAGTTTTTCATATAAAATTGTGATAATGGATGGTCAGCGCTGTGGTATAGCCTTCTAAGCCTCTGCCTGCAGCACCACCATCCCATATGGGTGCCAGTTCTAGTCCCGGCTACTCCTCTTCTGATCCAGCTCTCAGCTACGGCCTGGAAAAGCAGCAGAAGATGGCCTAAGTGCTTGGGCTCCTGTACCCACATGGGAGAACTGGAAGAAGCTCCTGGTCCTGGCTTTGGATCAGCCCAGCTCCAGCCATTGCGACCATTTGGGGAGTGAACCAGTGAATGGAAGACCTTTCTCTCTGTCTCTCTCTGTGTGTGTGTGGTTCTGCCCCTCAAATAAATAAATAAATAAATAAATAAAATCTTTAAAACTAAAATGAAATAAAATTGTGATAATAGTACAAACAAGTAGAGATAGTTCATAGTGCATAATTTTTAAAAGATTTATTTATTGTATTTGAAAGACAGAGTTACAGAGAGAGAGACCTTCCATCTGCTGGTTTACTCCCTAAATCGCTGCAATGGCTGGAACTGGGCCAGACTGAAGCCAGGAGCCAGGAGCTTCTTCTGGGTCTCCCACATTGGGGCAGTGGCCCAAGCACTTTGGCCATCCTCTGCTGCTTTCCAAGGCTACTAGCA